ATCTACTCAGCTTTTTAATGCTCCAAGGATGATAAAAAAAAATATTTTCAGTTTATTCATAAAAAGGAAAAAACCGTCATATTTCAGTTATCATATAAAAATATGCGTGTATTTTCCTGCAAGTTTATAGGAGTAACTGAAAATATGGAAGTAACGTAAATATAACATTTTTATAATGGAATTTGGCGTTTTTTTATACCCTATGTATATATAACTTTGTCATTCCGTGTGTAACACCAAGAAATATTCATCTGAGACCCATCAAAGTATATATATTCTGGGTGCTTATCAAATTCTGAGTCGATTTAGCTATGTCCGTCTGTCTGTGTAAAACACGCTCACGATAAAACGAAGCAATAGAGCTTAACCAAATTCACCCAAAATGTTCTTCATTTTCCTAAGTTGTTTGGTATTGCAAATGGGCAAAATCGGTTCACACCGGGAAAAGTTATGAATCAAAATTTAAAACAACCTCGGAAAAAATAAGCATTTTTTACACATTCTGATGTAGTTTTCTCGAAAACTATGCAAGATAATTCCATGGAAATCACCATACATTCGTTTCTGCACAAGATCTTGATCCCTGCTGAAAATTGCCAGAATCGGTCCACAATTTCATATACCTCCCATACAAAAGTACATATTCCCGGAAAATGGGTTTTTTGTTAATAACTTCCGCCACAATGTCGATATCTTCACAAAAGTTTACAAATTAAAATCTTATGTCAATAGAATTCTTTCGGAGGAAAAATTTTATGGATCGGTCCATAATTGGACATAGCTCCCATACAAGGTCCCCTCCCGAAAATCACTTAAACGCGCATAACTCATAACTAAATTAAGATATCCAAATAAAATTTGGTACAAGTATTGCCCATATGCATAGAAATGTTACTGTGAAATTTTTTTCCGATCGGTCCATAATTGGTCATAGCTCCCATACAAGGTCCCCTCCCGAAAATCACTTAAACTCGCATAACTCAGTACTAAATTAAGATATCCATATAAAATTTGATATAAGTATTGCCCATATGCATAGAAATATTACACTTAAACGCGCTTAACTCATAAGTAAATTAAGATATCCGTATAAAATTTGGTACAAATATTACTCATATGCACAGAAATTTTGTTGTGAAATTTTTTTTCCGATCGGTCCATAATTGATCATAGCTCCCATACAAGGTTTCCTCCCGAAAATCACTTAAACGCGCATAACTCATTACTAAATTCAGATATCCATATAAAATTTGGTACAAGTATTGCCCATATGCACAGAAATATTACTGTGAAATTTTTTTCCGATCGGTCCATAATTGGTCATAGCTCCCATACAAGGTCCCCTCCCGAAAATCACTTAAACGCGCATAACTCATTACGTAATTAAGATACCCATATGGTACAAATATTACTCATATGCATAGAAATATTACTGTGAAATTTTTTTCCGATCGGTCCATAACTGGTCATAGCTCCCATACAAGGTCCCCTCCCGAAAATCACTTAAACGCACATAACTCATTACTAAATTAAGATATCCATATAAAGTTTGGCAAAAATATTGCTCATATACAGTGAAATATTACTGTGAAATTGTTTTCCTATCGATCCATAATTGATCATAGCTCCCATACAAGGTCCCTTTCAGAAAAACACTTAAAGGCACATAACTCATTACCAAATAATGATATAAATAAATACTATTTTTGTTCATAAATACTATTTTGTAATACAAAACCACTTAATGCTATTTCAAAAATTTTTCACGATCGGTCTATATTTGGTCATATTTCTCATACTAGGTCCTGCCCCTAAAAGCGCTTTAACCGTATTTAACTATTTGCATTATAAATTTGTGTAGAACAAAATTATATATGTATGTATTTTGAAAATCCTTAAATCTTTCACACACATGCAAATACTAGATATCGCTAAAGCATATCTTAGGGCGCTATAAAAATTTAAAAGGAAGTGGCGTTTCTAATGTTCAATAAATCTTGGAATTGCAGTAGATTTAAGCTGTTTAAATCTTGGGTTTTTTCTATTTATGACATGAGAAAACTTATTTCTACAAATATTTTATTAATTAGAAATGTATTAATACAAAAGTTGCTGGTGGAGGGTATTTAAGATTCGGCTCAGCCGAATATAGCACTCTAACTTGTTTTCTCTTACTTTCTTGAATTACAATGTTGATGTATGTATTACGGAAAATTATAATAATAATACGAATTCTAACACATACTTTAATCCTGGTTGTTGTTCTCCTAACGTTGTTTATTGTGCCACCACAAAAATGTGTTTAACTTTTATGTATCGAGTTTTCTTTGTAGGGAAATTTTAAAAGAAATCTTTTAATATTTATGAACAATATGTAATGCGTGGAGTTAAGGAACATGTTAAGGAACAAGTATGATTTCTAATATTGCAATTTCTTATTTTTTGTTTAAAATTTATTGCATTCAAATTCAATACCTTACACTTTTAAGATGATAAGAATGCCTTAAGGTAGAAGTACACAACTCGCGTTGTACGCGGCAACGCTTTATAGGCTTCTGTCAACAAAAAGTTGAAATAGTGTGTTTTCATTTAACAAGTTACACACTGTAGTTTGTAACGCGTCTGCCGCAAAAAATTCAGCAACTTTCAACTTTTGACGCGTCGGCAGCTGATCAGGTTTGTATTTTGTTTTGTGTAGAATAAGAATAAACTAAAATGAAATAAATTTCATCAACAATGAAAGAAAAAAATTAAAAAAATAAACAAAAACTTAAAATTTGCATTTTTAAAACAGTAATAGTTTTAAAAAAAAAACATTAAAAGAAATATCAAAATGACGCGTGGTGTGTAACTTGCAGCTTGTAAAGCGCGAAAAGTTTGAAAAGCGTAATACCACCTTTAGTTTAATTGTTAATGAAATATAAGGTTATTATGGAACGCTATAAAAGAAAATATAGATGTCAAACAAGACCCCCTACTATTCATATAAAATTAATAGACTTTACCTTAATCGACCTGATGCAGAAGTCAATAAGGCTGTACTTAGACTTTTTAACAGTGCGAAGTAACTCCAAACTTTTGGGAAAGATCCAAAGAGTTCGCAGTAAAAACCTTTTCAGTACAGAGTTTCTTGAAATATTTCCAGACTCGAAACATTCCTAGTGTCTACACATTGGCATGATGAAAGCTCAAAAGTGTGCTTCTGAGGACTCCTCAAGTGGACTTGAACACCATTCTTTCTTTACCTTTGACCTATAGAAAATTTTGTAGCCGGTTTGGCGGCTAGAAGTCTACTAAGACTGTATGAGTCTTTGTTAGTCAAAACTTCGCACGACAATCACACAAAATTTCTATACGAATAAGATCTACTTGATGATGGCAACACCTCTTGTGGAATTAGAGATCATAGAATTACGAGTCTAGACTTCAAGGAAATACATCTAATGGAATTTCACACAAGGAACGATTGACGTGTAACCGATAGACTGTTTAAAGGGTGTGTAGTTTTTAGCGACAGGTCCAAAATGAATACCAGCAAGGGTGCAATCTGGAAAGCGAAGGCCTTATGGTCTTCCAGTGGAGTTTCAAAAACCTTCTAAACATATCAAATCCATTTATAGGGACTCTTCCCTCGCAGTCTACTAGATTTTATCAGGGAAATTAGTCATTTCTTCGATTAGGTTTTATAGGAAGACTCAGATTCTATCATAATTCTTTATGGAATCGATAAAACTGGTTATGGCAATCGACATGAATAAGCTGTAAAGCTAACTTAGCGCTTAGAGGCATAATGGATTGTATACAAATGACGTCAGCGTTCCGCATGTCGGTTAAGGAACACAACAATTATTAACACAGTTCCTCCTGGCACTGCGTTATAGTCGATCCGCTAAATACGCATTGATTGGAGTTTTATTTCCCTGAATAATCCATATATTAACTCGACAAATTGTCATATAAGTTGATACCTGAAGTGACCTACTTTGAGGAGCTTGCCACTAGCCCCCATTATTTCTACAATTACCTTCCACTGCTAATCATTCCTACGATATTCCCACCTTAATTACCAATAACTTTTTCTAATATTTATGAATATGATGATTACAATAAACACATTTCAAATACTAGGGATGCCAAACGGGAATTGCCGATTCCAGAAAATCCCGGGATTTTTGTCGAGATACGAGTATATTAAACATAATTATGAGCTCAAAGGCCCTACAATTTATCAGAATATATACTGGCAATTAACCTGTTAATAAGATGGCGAGATGATAATTCCCTTTTTTGGGTAAGAGGACAAGGGATATAACTGGAAATAATATTGCTGATACATTGGCAAAAGCTGGAACTACGATGGCTATACTTGATATAGACCAGTTCTGTAGTGTTTACGGCCATTAAAAACCATATATCCGATATTCAGCTCAAGACGGTTGGTCACATGAGTACACTTGCTCAATTGCTAAGGTGCTGTAGCCTCGTATGGATCCTCATAAAACATACTACCTAAATTGTAGGTTTCAACAAATTGTAAATTTGGAAACCATGCAAGACGCATGGGTCTTCATAAGTAGGTTTTTATTCTACTATTCAGTACCTGGAATGGACATTTTATGAATTGATATTGAAAAATTGACGGAGTATACCCTTGTACCGCTGTATCTAGAAAGCACTGTATTATTTTTAGTACTTTGAATTAATTTGTTTTCCAAAAATTTCACAAAATACTTTTGGAAAAGCTTTCTGTGTTAGTAAACACATATTAAGTGTATTCATATTGTAATATGAAATAGAAAATGTTATTTTTGTCATCAATTTATTAAGATTTTTTAATAATTTATTTATATTTTTCGGGATTTAGAAATCCCGGAAATCCCGCGATCCTGATATCGGGATTCCGGGATTCATTTAAAAGTCCCGAATACCGTGATTTTTAAAAATCAGTCCCGAATGGCATCCCTATCAAATACACTAAATAGACCTTCTATCCCACTTACCGATAACGCCATCTATTAAACATTCTATTCGCCTCCTTCCGTTCTGCCGTCAATTCTAATTGCGCATCTTTTTTCAAATTTATTAAAGAGTTTTGTAGAACAAAATCAATGACTGCCTTCTTCATGGCAAACACATAATCAGATTTTATCTCATCGATATTTTCATTAAGAGCAGTGGCCCATTTATTTAAAACAGCTGGTATTTGACTTTTAATTCTAAAAATTAATGGAACAAAATGAAGAGGCAATTAAATGTAGATAAACTTTCTAAGGTACAAATAATCCAAGAGTAAAACAAAAACAGCCATTAGAATCTTACCTGTTTAACACTTTTTTGCTCATGGGTGAAACGTGTATTGTATCGATGCCATGTTTAATGTAATAGTAATAACGTAAAACTTCCTTTTCTTCTTTATTGGGAAATTCAGCTTCCAAATCAATGGCAGTAGCGGGAGAACCTCCAGCATCATCATCGTCTTTACGGGCAATTAATTCGACTAACTTTTTGCGAAAGTTTTCTCGTTCCAAACGCATTTGCATGTAAGAAGGTCGCTCTATTTTATTTATATTAAATGGGGCCAAAAGTTTTAAGGAGTTGGGTTGTAGAGAGTGTTGTTGCAAAGGAACAGCGTTGTGCATGAAACAAATAACATGAATTGCCATTAATGTGTAATCATGTGTAACAAATTGTAGCCATAATATACAAGAAAGTAGCACATCTAACTTTTTGCCACCCACTTTATACACATTCATTCATATATAAACATATTTACATGGTTGTAACTAACTTACATCTCCTCTACTTACTTTCTTTCTTTTTAGTTTGTATCCTACGTTTACAACGCATTTCTTTGGTATGACATAGCAGCCTGTCAGGTATGCTGGTTGATAGCATTCTTCCATCTAATATTTCACTTGTACATTCTGGCATATTCAATTCATACCAGAGACGTCGTGAATTGTATTCGGGATTCGCCTTCGAACGTAATATACTTTCTAGTGTATCGGGTTTGGGTCGATTGTAAACGAATTTTTGTTTTGAACATGGTCTTTTGACATTGCTGACTCCACTGCTAGAGCTGAGATGGCTGGGCTGTGATTTGCGATAAGCTGAAATAAAAGGAGACGACTAGAATCAGAAATTCATTGATCTAATTTAAATGATGATTTTAAAATAAAGTTATTGCCCAGTGGGCAGAAATGAATTGTATTTAAATATATCAGACCGGTTCTATTTGAAAGTAACGAGTTGCTCCAAGTGAAATAAGACACCACGAAGATGTTAAATTTTAATCTCTTAAAGTTTATGCCCTTGTTCAAATAAAAGAAGGAATTTGTTCGTTTGAGAGCAGATATTCCCTACGAAAGCGAGATCGGGCCTAGGTTACTGGAGAGATATAGAATAGCATTTCGACTTTTCCCAAACTGGGACACGTAATACGCTTTCTTCATCTGGTATGCGCTATATAAAATGGACAACAAGGCACTTGTTTTTAATGAAAAGAGACTTGAAGAAATCAATATCTGACCAATGCTAAACTGATTGAGCTAACTAGACGCAGAACGTTGGGTAGGACCGCAAAGCTCGTATGGACAGATTTAGATTCAAAATTAATAAGCCGAAGATTCCGGAATACGGGTGCAACCTTACCAAATGCAAAGCAAGCTACGTGACTTCAAAACTGGTTTATAAGTGGAAAATGTTTTGCAGAAAGGCTAGCTAGCTAGCTAGCTAGTTAGTTAGTTAGTTAGTTAGTTAGTTAGTTTAGTTAGTTAGTTAGTTAGTTAGTTAGTTAGTTAGTTAGTTAGTTAGTTAGTTAGTTAGTTAGTTAGTTAGTTAGTTAGTTAGTAGTTAGTTAGTTAGTTAGTTAGTTAGTTAGTTAGTTAGTAGTTAGTTAGTTAGTTAGTTAGTTAGTTAGTTAGTTAGTTAGTTAGTTAGTTAGTTAGTTAGTTTAGTTAGTTAGTTGTTAGTTAGTTTAGTTAGTTAGTTAGTTCTTAGTTAGTTAGTTAGTTAGTTAGTTAGTTTAGTTCTTTTTTAGTTTATTTGTTCTTTAGTTCTTTGTTCGTTTTTTTTAGTTCTTTTTTATTTTCTTTCTTTATTTAGTTCTTTATTTATTTTGTTCTTCTTGTTCGTTTCTGTTTTTCTTTTTTTTCTTCTTTTTTTTTTATTTTCTTTCTTTCTTTCTTTTGTTTCTTTCGTTCGTTCGTTAGTTCTTCGTTTCGTTTCGTTTCGTTATTTTCTTTCTTTCTTTCGTTCTTTCGTATTCGTTTCGTTTTCGTTCGTTTTTTTCGTTCGTTATTTTTCGTTCGTTCGTTTTCGTTCGTTCGTTCGTTCGTTCGTTCGTTCGTTCTTTTCGTTCGTTCGTTCGTTCTTTCGTTCGTTCGTTCGTTCGTTCGTTTCGTCGTTCGTGTTCGTTCGTTCGTTTTTCGTTCGTTCGTTTGTTTCGTTCGTTCGTTCGTTGGTTCGTCCCTTTCCTCCCCTGTTGGTTCCCTTCCCCTGTTCCCCTTTCTCTTCTTCGCCTTCCCCTCCCCTTTCCCTTTCCGCCTTTTTCTCTTTCCTCCCCCCTGTTTTTCCCTTCCCGTATCCTCAGTCCTCAACAGCGGTTGATAAGTACTGTAGTGCACAATTTCCAAGCAAAATTACTTTACAACACTACCGAATATTTGACGCCGCTTTTTTTTAACACTGACTTTGTTATTTCCTCAAAGGCCGTTTCCATAGAAAAATAAATAGAACTGAAACTGAGAATAAGAAATATTACTCTCTCACATGTACAGGTTCTGTGTGAATTTATACAATTGTATGAGTATTTTTATGTTTGTTTACATAAAATAACAAAAATATGAAAGTACAAAATGTATCCGAATACACCATACCCTACCACATTGCGAGTAAGTAGCAATAAGTTATTTAGTATTTTTTAATGTAGAAGTTATATTCAAGAGATTGATGTTTGCTTAATTAATGAATGTACTACTCATTATAACAATATATAGTCAAAATTTCGTATATATAAAATTTGTTGAGTCGAATTTTATAAATACTCTATTCTTGTATAGCATGTACCGCTTACACAAAAGTTCAATAGGCTAATTTATGGGCGGATTACATCATTACATCGACGCAGGTGTTACAAACTTTAAGACGTAAACAAAATACCGTTCCCATTAGTGTGGTGTAGGGTGTATTTTGACTGCATTTGGGCTGCTTTGAAATTAACAATAATCGTTCATATCAAGCGTTAATTTTAGCATTAGCACAATTCCTTTGGCAAAATAGCCCCTGCTGCTGCAATAAACACTGCTAAAAGTTATGTTTTCCCATAAAGTTATTGAAAACATTTTCAGAAAAAAAAAACAAATTTTTCAATCGTTTTTATTTTTTAATATTATTTTCAAGTGTCAATATTGACTCAACCCAGCAACCAAAAAGAGTTTATTTAAAATTAAAAATTATTTTTAATGAAGATCTTTCTTACATTGGTCAACTGATATTGAATAAAAATGGCTAATTCAAACCATTATTTCATAAAATATCGAAATATAATATCAAACAAAAATATAAAAACTTTTTAAACAAAAGAGTTTGTGTTTGTTGGGTTACATATTTTTCAACTAATACATTCTCACGACTTAGGTTTTTGACAGCAGACTTAAGGCCTAACTATAATATGCTTAAACAAACTGAAGTCAGCTTAAGCAACTGTGCGAACACATATAAAATGTATGTGACAAACTATAATGTACTTAAGAGAGTTTCGTCAAGTTTCGTCAAATTTTATTTGCTTAAGCAAAGAGCGATACTGACAGCACATTACGTACGGAATCAATTGTTTGTTTATTATACACAAAGAAAATAAAGAAAAAAATGGAAAGCTAAAAGAAAATTAATTTATTTCAATAAAATATTTTGAAATATGTATTTTTTTTATTACGTGTGTCACATAAATGTGTAAATGGAGCTAAATTGTTTTGAATACACGTAAGTACATTATAGCCACCTAAAAGTTTCCTCGGATTTTCTTAAACATTTGAGAGACTTTTCGTTCGATTGTTACATTACCTTAAGCAAGCTTATGCACATTATAGTTGGGCCTTTAGGTTTTGTCATACTCAGTTTCAGTTCTATGTATACCTTTTCTATGGCCGTTTCTCTCTCTCTTCTATTTGCTCTCAACGTGCTTTATGTCAAAAAAATATTCTTTTGACATATTGTGCAACTGTTTTCTTTTCATTCATCGTGCAAAAAGAAGTAAAATTCCTTTTTTAACTTTTAATTTAATAAAATTTTCAATTAAAGTTATTTAAAATTTGTGAAAAAACTATACCTTCTTCCGAGCAACGTTTCATTGTAGTAAAAACATCCAAAATATATTAAAAATTGTTAATAAATTCTTAATTATTTAAACGGAAGATTGTTTGTAACAAAGTTTTTCGAGTTATTGTAGTTTAATTTTTATATTATTTAAGCAAAATTCGTTCTTTCTTTGTGACTGTTAGTTAGAAATTGATTTTTCTTGCCGGTTTGCTAGACAGTTGGAAAATTTTGTTTTATTTTCCTTGCTATTGAAATTTCTATTGTCATTTTATAAACAAAAATATTAAATGAAAAGTATATTTGGTTTCCTAGGTGTTGAGGGAAAATTTTCACATACCTTCAGAGCTGCATTTAAGGGAGACAAAACCAGCAACAAGTTAAGCGTGTGTGTCACCAGGAGTAACCAGACTAACAAATTATTAAAATGATTTTCCAACAATTCACCAGATTCTTGCACACCACCCGTATTGTTTATGCCGGCGCAGAGAAAAGTGCATTAGCAGCATTAAGAAAAAAGACCGGCTACACATTTGCCAACTGCAAAAAGGCCCTGGAAATGCATAATAATGATATCAATTTGGTAAATATTAAATTAAAACATATTTAAGGATATTTTTATAAAAGGAATTTTATTCTAGGCTGAAAAATGGTTGAATGAACAGGCCCAAAGTCTTGGCTGGTCTAAGGCTACTAAATTGGCTGAAAGAGCTACCGCTCAAGGTTTAGTGGGTGTTTTAATCAAGGGCAATATCGGTGCCATGGTGGAGGTCAATTGCGAAACTGATTTTGTAGCCCGCAATGAAAATTTCAAAAATTTCGTAGATCATGTTTCCAGAGTATGTGCTCAGTACACAGAGTTAACCCAATTTGATGGCGATTTATGGAAGGTAATATTAAATATAAAAATTTATTAATATTGAAAACAAATATTAATATTATTTGTCCACCTTAAACAGTCCGGGTTCGAGGCCGATGCTTTGAAAAATCTTAAAACTTCGGATGGCAAAACCTTGGCCGATCATTTGGCCTTATTAATTGGCACCGTAGGTGAAAATGCCTCTATTAAGCGTGCCATTTGTTTCAAAGTCAATAACGATTTGAAACTTTCGGGTTATGCTCACCCCCAGGCCACTACCCAAGAATCAACACAAAATATTACACAAGTTGGTAAATATGGTGCCATTGTAGCATTCCGCGGCAATAATGTCGATGAGGATTTACAAAAGAACCTCTGCCAACATATTGTCGGTATGAATCCCAAAAAAGTGGGTGAAGCTGACAAGGATAAACCCATGGCCAATAAGGACGATGAAACCTGTCTTATTCACCAGGAATATTTAATTGATGATGACAAGACTGTCGGTGAAGTATTGCAGGAAAATAATCTCTCTATTATTGACTATCAACGTTTTGAATGTGGCGAAGCTGCTGCTAATGAGGAATTGGAAAAGGCCAAACTCAGTAATTGACAAATGCGCGAAAGCAGAGTTGATAAAGATTATTAGTAATAGTAATGTGGGTGAAAACATTTTTATTTAGTTTTAATAAATGTTGGACATGTTTTTGAATGAAACATAGCAATTTAAATAAAGTTTGCTTTTATTGTTAAATGTTAAACTTAAGAAAGCAAATAAGTTAACTAATTAAATAATAAATATGGTGTTATTAAAAATAGATAATTGAACTATACTGAAGATGTTTTCCAGTTAATGTATAAGTGAAGTAGACGGTTTTTGAAATCAGAATACAGATAGTTTTATAGCTAAGTTTGACCAACAGATTTAGTTAGTTTATTGTAGCATAACAAGAATTAAATAGAATCGATCTCAAACGGTGCGATTCGAAAATTCAAAAAGTATAAAAGATTCTCCAAAGCATGGATATTTTCGAAAATTCAAAAAATCAAACAATCTATCTATCTATATCTATCAATCTAACTATCTATCTATCTTTCTATCTATCTATCTATCTATCTATCTATCTATCTATCTATCTATCTATCTATCTATCTATCTATCTATCTATCTATCTATCTATCTATCTATATATCTATCTATCTATCTATCTATCTATCTATCTATCTATCTATCTATCTATCTATCTATCTATCTATCTATCTATCTATCTATCTATATATCTATCTATCTATCTATCTATCTATCTATCTATCTATCTATCTATCTATCTATCTATCTATCTAACTAACTATCTATCTATCTATCTATCTATCTATCTATCTATCTATCTATCTACTATCTATCTATCTATCTATCTATCTATCTATCTATCTATCTATCTATCTATCTATCTATCTATCTATCTATCTATCTATCTATCTATCTATCTATCTATCTATCTATCTATCTATCTATATATCTATCTATCTATCTATCTATCTATCTATCTATCTATCTATCTATCTATCTATCTATCTATCTATCTATCTATCTATCTATCTATCTATCTATCTATCTATCTATCTATCTATCTATCTATCTATCTATCTATCTATCTATCTATCTATCTATCTATCTATCTATCTATCTATCTATCTATCTATCTATCTATCTATCTATCTATCTATCTATCTATCTATCTATCTATCTATCTATCTATCTATCTATCTATCTATCTATCTATCTATCTATCTATATATCTATCTATATATCTATCTATCTATATATCTATCTATCTATCTATCTATCTATCTATCTATCTATCTATCTATCTATCTATCTATCTATCTATCTATCTATCTATCTATCTATCTATCTATCTATCTATCTATCTATCTATCTATCTATCTATCTATCTATCTATATATCTATCTATCTATCTATCTATCTATCTATCTATCTATCTATCTATCTATCTATCTATCTATCTATCTATCTATCTATCTATCTATCTATCTATCTATCTATCTATCTATCTATCTATCTATCTATCTATCTATCTATCTATCTATCTATCTATCTATCTATCTATCTATCTATCTATCTATCTATCTATCTATCTATCTATCTATCTATCTATCTATCTATCTATCTATCTATCTATCTATCTATCTATCTATCTATCTATCTATCTATCTATCTATCTATCTATCTATCTATCTATCTATCTATCTATATATCTCTATCTAAACATATTCTCTTTTTCTTAAATTAAAATTTTTATTTTTGCCAAAATTATATATTAAAAATAAATCTGCTTATTCATGGATAAAAGTTTACTTAACCGATGAAATTTTATGAACAATTTCATTGAACTTTATAACAAAACTTTTTAGAATTCTACAAAAAAAAAAGGTCACCTGTTGCTGCTGTTGTATTTTATGTCTGTATGTACGAACTTTAGAAAAAAGAATAGGGGATTTACGCATGAGTAACTTACACCTGCATGTAAAATATAATTTCAAAATAAAAACCATTCGTCACTCTTATTTTAAACTAAATTCAATGTAAATTATTAGGGTTGCAAGCAACGAAAACTGGCTTTAAGCCAAATTCTTTTTTGTCCAATAAAACATATATAAACAATAATTTGCTTTTACTCCAAAAAGATAAGCCCGAAAAAAAGTAGCAAACGGAAGAGTGAAGTCATAATATGAGGCAAGAATCAAACAGACGGACAGACATGCAGATACATAGATAGGCGGGTAGACAAACGTTTAGATATAGACGCAATGAGACCAACATGCAATGTCAATGATTTTTAATTGTGTTTTTATGTTGAGTTTTATTTTTTTTAGTCTTTCTTTTTTGATCACACTCTTAAATCATGTACTTAAATAGACAAACTATTAACTAACCAAAGCCAACTACTATAACACTCTCTGTCTGTCATTCTTCTTTTACTTTGTCGTATTTAAACGTACATTTTTATTTGTACGTGATTTTTTAGTTAAAGTTTATGAATGGTTCGAAAAAACTTATAATGGCTAAATAATTACTTTTCCGGAGAAAGATTTAATTCTATTTTAGCACAGAACTAAATACAATTTAAAACATTGGTCAAAACAATATCGACCAGCAGACACACTCTCAAATATACATGAATTGTGATCACATTACATACAGATATAAACATACACATGTACATATGAATGTTTAACAATGGCAAAATCATTTGAAGCTTCAAAAAAGTTTTAAGCATTAGTTATGGTCGACTTAATAGAAACTATTAACCGATCAGTCTTTACAGTGTGTAGTCTTGACTATATATCAGTCCATAGTTATAACAATTGATCAGATTACGGTCTTGACTAGATCATTAAATAGTTTTGACTATTGATAAGTCTTATGTATTGACTATAAATCCATCTATAGTCTTAGCTATAGAATCTACAGTCTATCTGATTAATGGACCAGTTTATGGGCTTGATTATAGATTGATCTATAGTTTTGAAAATTGTAGAATAGTCTATATAGGCTATTCAATAGTCAATACTATAGACTATTCAATAGTCAAGAAGCTATTAATCGACCAGTATATAGTCTTGACTATAGATCAGTTTATAATCTTGACTATATATCATTTTATAATCCTGACTATATATAAGTCTATAGTTATAACTATGGATCAGATTATGGTCTTGACTATAGATCATTAAATAGATTTGGCTATAGATCACTCTAAAGTCTTGACTATAGAATAGTCTATAGTCTTGACTATAAAATAGTCTATAGTCTTGACTATACAATAATTTATAGGCTTGACTATAGAATAGTCTATAGTCTTAACTATAGATAAGTGTATAGTCTTGACTATAGAATAGTCTATAGTCTTGACTATAGAATAGTCTATAGTCTTGACTATAGAATAGTCTATAGTCTTGACTATAGAATAGTCTATAGTCTTGACTATAGAATAGTCTATAGTCTTGACTATAGAATAGTCTATAGTCTTGACTATAGACTTGACTATAGAATAGTATATAGTCTTGACTATAGAATAGTGTATAGTATTGAATATAGAATAGTCTATAGTCAAGACTATAGAATAGTCTATAGTCTTGACTATAGAATAGTCTATAGTCTTGACTATAGAATACTCTATAGTCTTTACTATAGAATAATCTATAGTCTTGACTATAGAATAGTGTATAGTCTTCACTATAGAATAGTCTATTGTCTTGACTATTGCTTAGTCTATAGTCTTGACTATTGAATAGTCTATGGTAGTGACACTAGATCAATATATAGTCTTTACTATAAATCAATCTATAGTCCCCACTGTAGGGTGTACAAAATATGCAAAATTATATTCAAACATACATAAAATGGCAAAGGAAAAGTACATACAGAGGAAAAAACATCTAATTTTGGTCATCCCCACGCCGTATTACACTAAATGGTAACAACAACAATGACAAAATTACCACAACAACAAATATATAAACAAAAACAACAAAAACTAACCAACCAACAATACACAATCGTACACAGAGTGATTATTTAACATGAAGTTGGAAAAGTAAGAAGAAAAAAACAAAAAAGAGAAAAAATAAATTGAAACAACAAAAAAAATATCTTTGGACAAACCATCAACAACAAACTTTGTTTTCGACAATTTAGTTTTAAATACAAATTGAAACGTAGCGGTCATATTCTACAATAGAAACAAATAAATGAAGAAATAAAACGAGTTGAACTAAAAAATAAACTACGAAATTACAAAAGGAAGTTCAGAAAATAGAATCAACAAGTGGCAGGCAGCATAATAAAGTGTCTAAAATAAAACTGCCCTCTCTATTTGCAAAACAAAAACAAATTATTTTTAAACCATTGACATTTTCGTTGGTCCCAAATAATTTACATAAATAAATACATACATTAATTACATCAAGTCCGTGTAATCCCTCTTCCCACTGTGTAAACATTTAAGAGAACTGTCAAAAAAAAGTGTTAAAATTAATGTTTTGAGTAGTTAATTATTTTGTTGTTATCATGTTGTATAAATTCTAACGGTTTTTGAGTTTAAATTTTAAAACAATCGCTATTTGTCTCTTTTTATCCATTTCTCTCTATTGGAAATAGTTTGAAAATCGAAGAAAATCGCTTTTATTAATTAACATAATTTTAATATTTATATGAAAAGAATATTCAATTAAATTATTTATTAACAATTAAAGTTTGTCCCCGCAAATATGGCCACAAAAGCATTACAATTTAATTTTATACAACAGGTAAGAAATTAGCGAAAATAATTCATATTTTTTATTACTTTTTTGTGTGGCATTAAATGATAAATGATTAAATCTTTTTTCTAAGTATTTAACCCTAAGCTATACACATGTTTTTTATTAGTAGCTATCATCAAATGCTTTTACATTATCTTAAAATGATTTATTTATTGCTTATCTATCTAATGATTGCAATAATTTAGAGATAACTACTTTGAATACAAGACCATCTAGGAAACATAACATTAACAAGAATCTATAATATTGACTATAGATCGGTCTGTAGTTAAGTATGTAGTCTTGACTAGAGATGAGTCTAGAGTCTAGTCAAAAGTCTTGAATATATATCAGCCTAGAGTCTGGACTATAAATCAGTCTATAGTATTTTTTCCTTTAAATCTTTTACAATGTTTTTGCTATAGATCGGTGT